TAGGGATTTCTCACCATGCCAATGCAGATGGGTACAAGACCATGCTAAAACACATCGGTGAGAGAAACAGGGCTTCAAAGCAGCAATAAATATTTCCTAAATATGTCCTAAAGTGCTGCAGCCTTGCTTTCAGCCTGTCTCACTGAAGCTAAGGGAATTACCTGCTGAAATACCTTGCTGTTGTGAAGCTGATTTGGTTTGGATGCCACAGAGCCCCTGTTGCTGAACAGCTCACAAAGGTTCCAACATTTTAAGATTCCTGGTAAAGGTTCAGCTGGTGAGGAAGGATCCAGGCTTTCCTTAGTGATGTGTCTGTTGATGTCCTTTGTGCTCAAGAGACTTCAGAGGTACAGAAGTTACAGGGATATGGTTTCAGTATCTGACAGCAGCAGTGTTAGTGGTAGGAAAAGGTGATACAGACTAATAGGCTGTTGAAAGGTAGCTGGAGAAGTTTGCTGGCATCCAGGAACACAGCCCTTTTGGAAAATGGGTATAAAGCATTGGAGGTCTCTGTTGCTTTGCTGCTTTATTCCATCCAACACATTTTGTCTCAAATTGCTGCAAAGGATGAACCAGAGCTTACTTACAGCTGCTGACTTTCTATAAAATCCTTAATGTGGGGCAGTCTAAATCTACAAGGATTGATTTTAATTTCCTCCAAAAAGTTGCTGCTGGCAGAATCTGATAAAGTCATTTTTAGTCTAATCCTTCCCAGCCCTTCCCTTGCTGAGCTATCGTTCTATCTTTGGGAATTCATTGGGTGATCACCACAGCTTGCATTCATTGTCTTAAATACCTCCCAAATCGTTGTCGGCTGATGCACGGTGGGTCTGAGAAGAGGTCTGACAGCATTTTCTTCAGCTTTTCACTTCTGGGGTAGAGTGTTCCCAGGTTTTTGATTGGGATGTGCCCTTCTGCCCTTTGTGGAACTGCCCCTTCAATGCACAAAGATTACAAGGAGCAGTCATTCCACTTCTTCTTCACTGCTCTGTGGTGCCTTTTTCTTGCTAAGATTTCTTCATTTGTGCCCCGGGCTCTTGAGTCCTCTCAGTGCTGGACTGACCCCGCTCCCAGAAATTCATCAGAAATTTTGTACAAATTTTTAAAGAGATTTTGAAAATATTCTGGGTTTTTTGTTTCCCTGCTGCCAGCCCTATGCATCAAGTAGCAGCCTTTCTGTTTTAGGGAGTCTTAATGAACAAGATGTACCCTCATGTCTCAAACGATGAGATCAGAAAATACAGAAAGGCTTATTTTAAAGCAATTTGCACTTGTAAAACAGAATTATTATCTCCTAAACTCTGAAATAGAAAACAAATTTTTTTGTGGAAACAAAAACACAAGCAGAGCAGAGCATTGCAGATGTTTAGCATCGTGTTCTGACCTTCATGAAAACAGCTGATATGGAAATATTTCTGCCATATTTATTTAAACCTTTTTCCTTGCATTTATTTTAACTAGGCAGTATATTTATTTGAAAATACCAGCAGCATGCCAATCTCCAGTTCTTGGCATGTTAACAACACTAATCATGCAGTAAACATAAAGCCCTTAAATCTGTGCTAAGTGCTTTGATCCTAATGCTCTTAGGAAAATTCTTTCGTTATTGTTCTCCGTGTAAAGTGCCAGGTGCAACTGTGGTAGGTTTAGGAGATAATAAAGATAATAACAAGGGGAAGGTTTGCTAGAGTTTTAGAGTGGTGGCTATAGCTGATTTTTCAAAATACTGTTTCTCTATTATTTTATGCACCGCAAACTTTGGTGGGGTTTTTTTACAGAAACATAACAATTTATTGTTTTCACACCCTCCTCCATGCCTGGCTGTCCTCCCAGGTTCATCCAGGGGTGCTGTTTGCTGTTGTGCCTCAATCACAGGCTGTAAACAGCCTTTCAGGGCAGCGTTTTCCCACACTTAAGTGGAGACAGAGGCAAGTTGACCATAGGCATGCCCAAGTGCATGTGATCCTTGACTCTAGGAAGCTGATTAGTGAAAAAATTCCATACAGTACCTGGCTACACCTTCAGGACTGGCCTAAAGGTGATTAAAACCGGTAGAGGCTTTTCTCTTCACTCAGAAAACCTTGGATAAGGTGAGGCTGTTATTCCAGAGAGCCACCACCTGCCCCCATTACTTGGAAGCATTCTCTATGGGGGATGTGAGAGAGAAATTCAAGAAAAAGAGGAATGTGAAGACAGTGATTTTGCCAAATGTTTTGAGGAAGGCAAGGTACAAGCTTACCTCATTGTGGTAATGTTATTGGTAGGTACCATAAGCAGGCAGCATTTGCAGCCACGAAGAATCCTGTTAATGGAATGCAAAGTTTATCCAGGGTCCAAAATAAATTATGAGGCTGATGGTGGTAGTTGGGTGTAGCACTTCCCAGACTCACATGGAGTTGAGATGCAGCTCACTATCAAATTCTGCTTTGCATATGGCTCACATATGCTTAAAATCTATGTGCCAGATAAAAGCTGAATACCTGAGATGACTTAGATGGCAGTTATTAAGTAGACTCTTTGCAAAGGAATTTTCAGTCTCTGATACTTGATTAAATTAGATTATTCAACCTTTCTTTTCTGTCAGTACAAATGAGATCATAACTCAAATGTGCATGAAAGCAAACGGGTGGTTTAGATCTGAAAATGCACAGCTGCCTAAATATGATTTATATTAAAGGCAGACATAGAAATGATTCATTCCAGCATCTTGGGAATTACATTTAAGTATTAAAAAAATTAACTAAATTATGCCTCAACCTCTGAGTGCACCAAGGTTTGCACGCAGACTCGTTTGATCATGGGATCACAAGATAAATGTCAGAATCAGGCTCCATGCCAAAGTGAAGCATTTTGTAGACAGGGAATAATAATTCTGGAAATAACTAGGACCAAATTGTTTGTAAGATCAAGTACTTATCAACCAGCTTCAGGTTCCCAGAAAGGTGCTTGCATTGTTGCACAGTGTGGTTAGTCTTACTCTAGGGTAAGTAGTGGGATCCCATATATTTTTTAAATTAAGGATGTTCTAGGCTGTATCAGCTCAGGATATGGGACATGAGAGAGTCCTGATCAATGCTGTAAATTTACTCTTTGACTTTAGCTGTCAAAGTGACATAACCTGCAGGAAGACTGTTTACCAAGATTTACTTTAATTTTTGTTTAAGCATCAGTGTTGGTGTTTAGTCCCAAGACAGTAAGTGGATGAAAATACTAGAAGTTTAGAACTGGGTTTTTTAGGATGTGACATTTCTGTCTAGCTGCTGACTTTCGTTGCCTGGGGAGAGAAGTAGAGAGAATGAAAAAATTAACTTCTGATTACATTTGAAGGCATATAAAAATAGGGTAACATTAGCTTGATCTTTCTTCTGTTGACGCTAAAGAAAAGAAGTTAAGTTTATGGAACTGGGTAACTTGTAGAAGTTTTATTTTATTGCAAGGGACAGCATTTCTTCTGTTTTTCAGTGCAAGGCTGGGTGTTGCTTGTTGGGCTTTTTGGCCTATCTTCGAATTTGATCTGAGCTCAGGAAAACTCAGAGGCAGCTATCCCTGCTCAGCCTCTCAGAGGAGCATCATTAATGGCTCTTAAAACTGATTAACTGGACCTCAGAGATCTTTTGTTGAGCTGTAACGCTCTTGCAGCAGGAAAACAACCTTTTTCAGGGAATCATTTATACAAGCTTTTAAGCATCAATGTCTGGTTTTAGGGGCTACATCCATTTCTCTCCACATTGGTTTGAACTTTTCCATTTAGAAACTGCTCTCTGGCTGGTTCTTTGTGAGCTGAATGAGCTGTAAGTAGGGCTGTAATATAAAATATTCACAGGTGTCAATGTATATGCCAATTTCTATTCTAGTGGATCTTCCAGAGCTGCTATATATATAAATTTTTGGGGGGTTATTTATAGGCTGGGAAGAGCTTAATCTGTAATATATTTATTGGGAAATATACTGATGGAGAGACTCCAAAATGAAGGTCGAAGCCTCATTTCTGCATGTTTTCTCCATTCTGAAAAGAAAGCAGAACATTTTATATGGAGAGGTGGTTAAAACAGTGTGTTTGCCCTCAAGGATTAAACCAGTATGCTTATGGGGTAGCATGTAATGAAGAAATGGAAGCTGAGTCTCTGGGTGCATCATGCTGAGTAAGAGGCTTGTTCTACATGAAACTGTCATATTAAATTCGTGTCGTGATTCCAAACCCCTTTGATTCCTAAATCTTTAGAGGACACTAATCTGAAATCAAAGTGAATTTGCTTGGGGTTTGCATGCCAGAAGTGGTCACATTTGAAAAAGTTCAGTGAACCTGCAGAGGGAGGTTGAAATTAGTTGCTTCACTACAAAGCTTGCAGCTAACATACCTGCTGGTTTGCTTTTTGCTTTGATTCTCCAGGCTCTGCCTTCTTGCCACCTTCTGAGTTGTTTTCAAAATGCATAAATCTTAAGGATGAACATGTCCTGGTTTCAGTCTGTTTAGTGAAGTAAAAAAGAAAAGTCAGACTACACTGATAAAACAAACACGAGCTTTTGTACCAAGGACAAGGAAATGCTGCACTTTTCTGCCTTGTCCTTTGTGCAGTTATTTCCCTCTGTGAAGGTGCAGAGCACACTTTACCCTCCTGATTTACCAATATTTGACATCCCTTTGTATCAAGGTAAATGGAAATGGTTCCTTTCAAGTTCTTCTAAGTAGATACTGAGGGCTCGTGCCTTGATCCCTGTAAGATGACTCTGCTCCTTTGAAAAGACTTGAGCAACGCCAGGAATCCAGGCTGTTATCCCTGCTGAATGTCAGCTGTTTTCTCTATTTTGATACTGGCATTTTTTAGGGCTTTGACCAAGAATATCACACAATATTAAGTGTCTGCACTCCCCTCAAGCTTTGTGTAGCCTGCTGGGGACCTGTGGAGGTGCTTTTTGGTCAAGCTACAAAAAAATGCCCTGGATAGCCATGGCCCTTGTATGAGTGTGAAAGCTGATCTGTTATTACTTTATATTTACAGTGTTCTGTCTCCTGTGGAAGGGGCCAAAAGCACCGCAGTGTGTACTGTTTGTCAAAGGAAGGGAGGCATGTAGAAGAAGAGCATTGTAAACACCTTGCTAAGCCCAACGTGCAAAAGAAATGCAGAGGGGGCAGATGTCCGAAGTGGAAAGCAGGAGATTGGGGCCAGGTGAGACATGTTGTGTACCCTTTTGCACCTTTTGGTATTCTTCCTCCATCAAATTGGTTAGAACCTGGTTTTCCAATTACTTCTGTCCTCATGAATTATTCAGGGATAAAGGTTTTGGGCCAGCTTCTGGTGTCCACTGCAGCTTCATGGACAGCAGTGGAGCAGCACAGATTTGTACCAGCTGAAAACTAGGCAGCTTGTTTTTAGTGTCTATCTGCAAGCAAATTCCTTGTTGTATATTTTAGGATTTTGCTAGAAACATAATTAGTATATAATATTAAAGAGAATATATTATTTATTCATGTTTTTAATATAGTTTAAATATCATAACTCAAATAAAATCTTCCTTAGTTTTGAGAAATAAACTCATTGTTTGTTTTTCCCTTGTTAAAAAGTCAGACAGTGATGCATAGAGCAGAGCCTGCTGGAAATGAAAACTATTTTGAGTTATTATGCTAAAAGCATACCTTGAATCCTTGTTTTCCTGAAAATAATGTCTTTGTCATCACCTTGAATCTGCTGCATCACATTTTTAACTCTGAACCTTGCTTTTCCCTCTACCTCATTTGTGTGCTAATCAGAGGAATTATTGAAAATCCCAGACTAAACGAACTGTTAACTTGTAAAACATCGTGTTCCCTTGCATTCTGTCTTCCAAATTTAGGTACAAAACACCCATTCTTGCTGCATTCCAGCTCCCTGAAATACAAACTATTCACATTGCTACAGGCAAATGTTAGGACTAGGACAGCATGCTGTTGATTAATGTCCACTAATAAAAAAGGCAATAAACCCATTAATGATCTATGATTGTTTTCAGACTTGTATTAGGGTTTTTTTTTAATCCTTACCTTTGGATTGACAGGATAGGAGTATTTGCCATTATGTGGGTGAGGGACTAAGTGCTTGTTGACCAGTGAGGTTCAGTTACTGAGGTCTGGGCTCCTTACCTGAGGACAGGAGCATCCAGCCTGTGAAATCCACAGTACTGCTCCCATACTGGAAATTAAGTCAATATTCACGACTGAAATCTCAGTTTTATACAGAAGCCAGACTAAAATGAAATGCAAGGCCACTAGACAGTCTTGTGGTATCCAATTTGCACCTTATTTAATGACTGCTCCTGAAAGCAGTTTTTACTATTAATTGTAAACATAATAATGTAATGGTCTATCAATTGCATTAAAATACACTAATACTAATTGGTAAAAGTAAGTGGTTTAAAATTCCCAGCTTTCCACTGCATCATGGATATTAATTTTATGCAACTAGAGAAAGAAACCCAAGTTAATAGGAGGATGAGGTGATTTATGGTCTAAGGTGATCTCTCATGACCAGGCAATTATGGAATATTTGTGTGCTAATGATAAGGCTAAGAACAGGCTTTTCCAGGAGTAGCTCCTCAGCCCAGGTTCCTGATGCAGGCTGTGCTCAACCAACCAGCATCTTGCTTGGGGAAAAAGTAAAAGGGTAGAAACACTTATGCTACAATGTCAAACTGGGCTTTTTAAAGCCCTGTCAGATGCTGTGACATGGATCTCTGAGGCTCACTGCTGCTGGCAGCATTTTTTTTTGCCTGTGACAGATGAAGAGTTGGGGCTGTCACAGGTTGGGAGTGCTGGTTCTGGGTCTCTTGTAAAGGGGATCAGAGATCTAATTCCATGAAGCCAAGCTGGATTTAGATGCTGAATATCTCATTAAGAGCATAAAACATACACGAGTTTGGTGCTCTGAGTACACAGTAGTTCAGGGTATAAATTGGGCATGAAAACTCCATGTGACCTTCCCTATCTCCAGTGCCACTGTTGCAAATAGGAACCATGATCAGTTTCCACTTAGATATTATCCATAAAAATCCCTAACTTTCTGAAGGTCTAATTGTCTCAGAAAGTTAATCCCAAAGCTGAGCTGCTGTGCTTTTTCTGCTGAATAAACCAGTAAAAATCTGCATGAGAAAAAAGGTGAGATTTTCCCATAAAAGTGGATCCTTATATATGCACAGAACCCATTGCACATACCTTTAGGTGCTGGAGTTTTTTGCCTTCTAGAAAAGGAATTACTGAGAAAGTAAAGATCAAAAAATACAGGAATGGTTAAAAATCAGTCTCAGTTGGACACTGGCTGTGCTGATGCTCCAATCTTAGGTTTTTTCTCTTTGGATGTTTTGTATTCAGAAGGTGGTTATTTCTTTTCTGCATTAAGAGCCCACTTCCATGGAGCAAAGCATTTTTGATATATCTCTAAAAACGCTTTTTCTCCAAGTCTTAAGTGTGTTTATGTCTGCACTGAAATATCCGATTTAATGCCTTTGTTTCACCTAAGTAGTGTCAATTATGGCCATTTACCTTTCATTTAACAAAAACACCAATATTTTATTCTGCTCTCTGCTATTTGCATACTTCAGTTAAAGGCTGAAATCCAGCCCTATATAAAAACACAGGCAGGGCATCAGGTGGAGTTTCTGGCACAGTCCAGGGACCATTCTCTTCCCAAACCCAGGTGTCACACACACTGCAGCCCCCCATGAAAAAGCCACGGTGTCACTTGTGCTCTTTCATCCATACCTGGGCTTCTTATGTTGGTGATAAATGCAACTCAAAAGGCATCTTAGAGCATGGAGGCATCCTGCTATATATGTTTCTCCAAGTTTGTGCCTTTATTCAGTTTAAGAGTCCCCCTCTGGAATGTGTAGGACAAAGACCACTGTTAATCCCAGGGAAGCAGCAGCATATGGGAAGCATTTGCATCACTAGTGACAGAAATCCCACTGCTGCTTTCAAAAGCTACACAAAAATGCTCCCACCCTCCTACAAATATCTAAAGCCAGACAAATAGTCACAGTCAGCTTTTCTCTGGTTTTCTTGGCTTTATGGGGCATTTGGATAGTAAAGCAAAGAGCATTATGAAGGAATACAGAAAAGGGAATTGCTTCCCCATTAAGCACCACTTAATTCTCTGACTTAAGAAGGCTCATTTTAGTGGGCATTGCAATAACTTATTTATGAACTTATTTTCATAGTTCATATGAAAGTAAGTTCATAAGGCTGCGAACTTATTTTCTTAGTTCCTGATATATTAATAAGTAATGTTAGTTGTTATAAATAACCAATATGAGTTGTTAATTCAGCTGTGGTTCTAATACATACCTTTATTTTTTATGCACTTTCTTGTACAAATGCAAATTCTCTTTACTCCAAATCTGTATAGTATACTTTAAGGTCTAGCCAGGAGGAATCTGTTCCAGGGGAATATTAAGTACTGCTAAACATGTTAGTGTGCAGTCACAACACTAAGAAATGTTGCGTGAAAGAAAAAATAAGCTGTTAATAATATTGCAGTGTAGATAATACTTTAAAGATGTCTGAGAGACAGAAAAATTCAGGCATTTGTTACTGTGCCTTGAAGTTGGGAGAAATTTGCCCACAGTGTAATGAAGGAAATGTGAAATGCAGTTAATTTCAAAAAGACATTTGTTTTCAAAAACTAACTGTATTCCCTGCCTTGGTGCATGTGCACGTTTAGATGCATGCTGAAAGAAATCCCAGCTGTATCACACCTTTCCCTCTCTACAGCTACACACTTTCTTCTATAGAATCCAAGTTTGCTTTTCATTAAAGCCCACTCTGTTTGTGGCATTTGATGTATTCTGAACTATTACTTTTTTGAACCAGTGCCTGAGAAGCAATACTCAGAGCAATACTCAGAGCCTGGCCGCCTCTGGAATGTCAGGGCGGTTTAGCAGCACCGCTATTTTGCAATAAAACCAGATTTTTCAATAAAAATCCTGTCCAGGAAGCCCTGACCCCACTGAAACAAACCAACAGCAAATATTCGCACTGGCTTCAGATTCCCAATGTTCCCTTGCGCAAGGAAAAGCCTCGCTCGGAAGTTTGATAGAGCATCGCTATCGATGCCCTGGAGCCCAGAGCAGAGCCCGAACCCCCCGAACTCACCGTGCTGGCTGTGATGGGAGCTCCACTCACCTTCTGTCCCTTCCTGCAGTGCTCCGTGTCCTGCGGCCGGGGTGTCCAGCGCCGCTCCGTGCAGTGCCACGGCGGCGCCCCGAAGGCAGCCGAGGAGGCCGAGTGCGACCCGGCCAGCCGGCCACCCCCGCAGCGGGACTGTCACCTCCCCGCGTGTCCCACGCACCGCTGGGCGGCCGGAGAGTGGCAGGCGGTAAGCGGGGACCCTTCCCCAGCAAGGCTCAGCTCCTGTGCTCTCAGGCGTGGCGCGATGCTGGATGCCGAGGCCGGGGAGCGCTGCCGGAGGGTCGCGGGGCTTGGGTTGCAACCTGGGGTTGCAAAGCAAAAAACAAAAAAAAAGAGGCAGAGGGAAGGTTCGTGCATGCTGGATGAAAGGGGGAAAGGAGAAATGCTTCTATAGAGTTAATTTATTGCTTCGTGCTGCCTTGTGTTTGGCTGGGACCTATGCAAATACTGAGCAGGTCTTGGGTAGGGCGGATTTGGGTCTCTTCCAAGAGACGGAGCCCTGCTGCGCTGCTCCAGCCTGAGCCCGGTGCCTGGAGGAGTTCGGGGGCAGTGGTAATTCCCTCTTTCCTGCCCCATTACCCCAGCTCCATCTCACATCCCTGTCCTTTCACTGAGCTCCAGGTCTTTGCTCTTTTATCAAGCCACAAGCAGTGCTGAGATCAAGTCTTCTGTGGGAGATGATGCTTTTCTGTGTGACCAGGATCAGTTCCCATCAAAAACAGCTACTGAGACTGAAACTGGAGATAAAGCTGCTGCTCCAGTGGTTTAGGGAGTGACTTCAACTCTCCTGCAGTGTGGGCAATGAGAGGCCTCAAGGCCGGTGGGCGGTAGGAGGGTGAGGGGATTCTGAGCAGGAGAAGCCCTCCCATGCACTGCCAAGAGTGTCCTGTGTCAGCCTTCAAATGCACAGAAGTTTTTGTCAGAGGCAGTTCAGACCAGACACCAAAATTATTCCTTTCATTCTGTTTTTTTCCATTTTTAGCCTCTGCATGTGGTACCTCAGCCTGACGGGAACAGGACACACAAGTTTATCTTAATTTCCCCAATCTCAGCAGTGCTGGGAAATTGGGTTTATAATCCTGTGTAACCCAGCCACGAGTGCAGGAGGCCAGAGGAAGCTGTGCTCTTTCCCAGCTGTTTCTCAGTACACAGGGAAGTGTGATGGGAAGCAGCAGGAGGCAAAGCCAGGCTGGTCACACAGTGGTACCAGATGGAAACATCCCAGCCAGAAATGTAGAAACAGCTGAGGGGGCTCCATCAGCTTCCTTGCAGTTTCAGTTTTAGTTTTACAGAGCCCATTAACTGCTTCAGATAATAAACTTAAAGGCAGCAAAGAGGTCACCAAACAGCATGTAGTGCCAGTCCTTACCTAGTGGTGTAATCAGCCCTGGAAAGAAACAGCTCCTGCCCCATCCTTTCATAGAATCTTAGAATCATTAAGTTGGAAAAGACCTCCAAAATCATCAAGTCCAACTTTCAACCAAGTTTTGCATTTTCTCCCTTATTTTTTCAACTTCTCAAAACAGTTTGGAGAGGCACCTGCCCCCAACCTTCTGAGCCCTTGATGGGATACAAGTACTGATGTTTTCTGAAGTTTTCCAGAACTGGGAAAATTTTGAACAGATTATGGAGATTTGGTTTTTCTCCAAGGGAGCTTTACTAAGAGGATGGACTGAAGGTTTCCTCAGCCTCATAAGTACTCATAAGTAACCATGCTCAGGAAAATGCAGGAGCTGCCCAATGTGAGCTTGGCCCTTTGGCTGATTCCAAGCATTTCTTCCGAGCACTTCTTATTTTGTTCTGGTGTACACAGTCAAAAAAAGGAATAGCACCTCCCCCCCAGCCAAAGGCAGTGTCCATGAGGAGGCACAGATTGCATTGGTATTCTCTGAGCAGGGAGCAGCAATGAATCCTAATTGACATGGAAGGCAGGATATAAATAACATCTCAGTGCTGTCTTGTTCTTGATTTCTTATCTTTAAAGGGAATCTCTCAAGAGGGTTTGGGGTTTTTTAATTGTTCCTTTTTGTTGTTGTTGTTTAGAAAAAGTGTTGGTCTTGACAATGAGAAGGGATATGAAACTTACTGGAGACCATTTACTGCTCTGTTGGTGTATCACCATTAATCACCTGTTCTCAGTGCCTTCACCAGGGAGAAGAAAGTCAATAGAAAGAGCCTTGCTAATGTCAAAATAAAACTCAGACTAGAGTCACAAAGAAAAAAGGGAAAACTAGGAGAAAGGAGGTTTTTTTTCTTTAATATGAGCCTCTGTGGAAGGACAATGCACAGCTCTGGAAGCTGCCATGCAACTCCAGAATCTTTGACATTTGCCTTTTGGGGGGAAATTGTGCCATCCTTGCCTGATTTGAATTGCAGAGTTACCCAAGGCATGTTTCAAGCATTCATGCATGGGGGGTAGATTTCATCTCTGTGTCAGATTGTTATTTAAAAAAAAAAAGAAGAAAACAATCATGCTTTTGCAAAGCAATCCCTTTGGGGTTATTTTAATTATTATTATTGCTCTTATAAAGCAGTTTCAGAAGTGCTTGAAATGTTCCTTAATTTGAACTGCCAGGAAAATAGTTCAGAATTTGGGAAATGAGGCAAAAGAGACAAATATTGTCAAATGCCTGACCTGTTTTCAGATTTTACTATCAATAGCTGTTATAGCCTGACCTCACTGTTTTGTGTGAGATTTAAATCAGTCTTGAACATGAGATTTCATGCAAAATCTGTCACTGCATTAAAAGTAAAAATAGCCTTTCCATGCTAGTTGAACTATCTGCTTTGTACATGGATAATGTTTTATAACTTTGGGGTGGCTGATTGGAACCTCTGTAGTGTTTCTTTTTGACTTAGTTTATGATGGTCTCACTGTCTTTGAGCCTTATTTATATTTCAGTGGGATTATTTCAATTGCCAGTTACCCTTAAAAATACAAATAACCAAACTTTCAATTTCTGATGATGACAAAATGCACAGAACTGGCTCAGGTTTATTTGGCCACACAACTGTTATTTGCAGACAAACCCAAATCAGGCTGGCTTGTGCTTGGGAGTGTCAGTCTTTCATCAGCAAGTAATGATTTTAAAACAAGGATAGGCTTTTGATGTGATAGCTCTTCACTGCCAATGTTAGAAGATGCCTTGATGGCACAGACATGGTTCACCCTCTTAAAGTGAAGCATGAGCCAATGTACTTTGCAAATTAATCTGAAATATACATTAAGGAGATGAGACAAAATCAGGCTTGGTTCTTCTCACTCCTTTCAAGGTGCCTCCTTTGGCTGTGAGGGACCATGGAACAATTCACCCTTTATTGCTGACCCCTTGCTGGGCTGGAAAATGCCAAAGCAGAGAGGAGGAAAGCTTTGAGCATCCTGTGACCCCACTCCCACTGAGCAGGAAGGTTGGGGTTCAGGCTGCCCCAAAAGGTGCCTGGAGAGCTGTCAGGGAAGCTCCCTGGTGATGGAGCTGTAGTGGTGCCATATTCACACACAATGACCCCCTTTCAGTTTTTACTTATGTAATAGTAAAATAATAATAGGGAGATAATCAGAGATGGGCAAATATAGCTCACTTTGTTTGCTTTCTGGGGAAATCACACTCCAGCAAATTCCTCCAACCCCTGTAGGATTGCCATGTTTCAGCACAGACCTAGAAGGAGCTTCCACTCCAAGGACTCAAAGCAAGAGAGTAAATAAGGTTGAAAGCACACAAAGCCCTTGGGGTCTTCTGGCAGACTGCAGATTTTGCAATGCTGACTGTTGCCTAAGAGCTCCTAAGTTATTCCTTTGGAATAAATGCTGCTTTGTGGAGCTGCCTCCCCTTCCCAATCCCCTTCCACTTTGCCCCAGTTTTAAATATTTACACCCAACATGATGTTGTGCTCACTGCTGCTCTCCTGGTTTGCTCCTGCTGCCACAGACTGATCTGATTTTTCAATAGTCTCAAATAATTTACAATCCTGGTTCTGACAGCCAATTACAGTAACAGGGCCATGACAGTGCCTGCATTTTGCAATTAGCTGAACCCACTAATATCTTCCTAATTGTTGGCCAGCCAGGAGAGCAAGAGCTGCTTCAGGGAGGCTGGAAATGATGTTTGGAGGGTAAGACTCTAACTAGATTAAACTGGCATAGTGTTCCATGCCTAGGTAACTTCAAGCGGTGTTTCTGTACAGATAGGAATGGTCTGATTGGATGTTTTATCCTTTTCCATAAGGGGAAGACATTTCCTATGTTCTATAAAATGATTATTTTCATGCATTTTTCTCCTCGTTAATCCAGTTAGTTGAAAGTGTTAGAAGTCTATTACAGGCAATAACTAAAAGAAAATAGGGTTTTATCTAGACAGCTGCTCTTACACTGATTTATTTTGTTTTATGTGTTTTTCTAAGATGTTCTCCCAGGACAGCCTCACTCCCAGGAACACAGCCTCACAGTCAGGCTCATTTTTCCCTGACAAGCAGAGAAAGAACTGAGTCCTTGAAATCTCCTGAAGGACCTGGAGAGCAGTTGTACTTGTCTGGCTTGGGTTGCTCTTAATATCAGGCAGGGCAGTGTTTAAAAGAGAATAAACCTGCAGGGCTGCCTCCACTGCAGTGGTTGTAGAGTTGTGTTCAAGGCTAGGCTGGGTGAAGCTCTGAGCAACCTGCTCTAGTGAAAGGTGTCCCTGCCCATGGCAGGGGGTTGGAAAGAGATGATTGCTAAGGTCTTTTTCACCCAAACTGCTCTATGATGATTCTATGATTCTGTGTGCACCATGCCAAAGCAGAGAGCTGGGGAAGGAGCTCCCCCCTCCACCAGCCACAGCCAAAGGTACAGCAGTGTGATTTTTGCAAGGGGGATGGTTGAGTTGTCAGTCTCCAAACAGCTGTATTCACTAGGGGCTGAAATAAAGGGGGTTGGCCCTCTCTTCTCCCTTTGCCCTATCTCCTGGCCCAGCATGCCCAATCCTGCATATTTTGATCCTACCACAGCTGGACCCCACATCTGCCCGATCCCAATACCTGCTCCCTTGGTTTCTCCTCTCTCCTGGGGATGTGTGTTAGTATCTCCAGAGGTCAGGAGCAATTTCTCACTGGCAGCAGCACGTGGCACAGCAGGGTCCTGGTGGAAAATTTTCCCCCAGGTGATACCAGTGACAGCTGACAGGGGTTTCTGGGAGGATGTGGGTTCATTGCCGGGGGTCCCTCAGGGTTGCCTGAGCTGTTGTTTCTTGCACACAGTGCACCAAGACGTGCGGGGAGGCGTCGCGGTTCCGCGAGGTGTTCTGCGTGGATGAGAACAAGCAGCTGCAGAGCAGCGGCTACTGCGAGGCCAGCAATCGCCCCGCCGAGGTGGAGAGCTGCGGGCTGCCCCCCTGCGAGTACATCTGGATCACGGGAGAGTGGTCAGAGGTGAGTCCCCCTCCCCCTTGCCTCCCCCAAGCCGCGCTTTCCTCCTCTCAACACTGCCCTTGCTGAGGTAGTGCAACCCCAATCAACAGTAGCAAGGCAGCGCTGTGGGTTTTGATTATTACTTGGTTTATTTCGTTGTGCAGTCTCCCTGTTGGATAGAAAGGAGCGGTGCTGTGGAAGGCAACCAGGATATTAAAGACTAAAAGCAGCCTGCTCAGGGTCCTAGCTAATATTATTATCTGGAGGCAATTTTCTTCCAAAGCACAGTGCATTCAGCAGGCACCCTCTTTGGTTTTCTGCTGGTTTATTTCATTTATTTAATTAATTGGTTTTATTCCCATCCACTCCCTGGGGGCTCCGGAGCTGTGAGTTGTGTAAGGGTCCAGATGTGCTTCACGGGGGAGAGGCAAGCCTGGAGGTGACCATGGGGGCACATCCTTCCTCAGTGCTGTCTTTGCAGGGGCAAGGACCCAGAGTGAGGGAAGGCAGGACATTCACCCTCACAGCTGGGAGGCAAGGAAAATAGATGAGTTTTCCTTGCAGCGGGCGCCGCATGCGGGAGGATGCAGGTTAATCTCAGCCTGTTTCCTTCTGAAGCCAGTGAAGGATTACTTTCCAGTTGGAGAAACAGCAGAGGGAAATGACAAGGCAGCTGCTGACACAGCACTGATTAAAAAGAAACAACAAGAAAAGGGGAAAAAGAAAACACGGCAGGACTGAGGGGAAGGAGAGCCAAGCCACCTGAGATAGTGCAAGGAGGGAGAAATGTGGAGATATGAGAATATCTCAGAGAGCCTGGTCTCCTGAGTGGTTTCTTAAGAGAAATATTGAGATGCCTGTCCAGCTGGAGCTCTGGTGCTCCTTGCCCAGGGACTCTCTACCCACCTCAATGCCTGGGAGACCACCTGGGAGCACTCAGGCCCATGAAGACAGAGAGATGAAGAGAGCTTTCAGAGCCAGAGTTTGGCTCTCCCAGGTCCCATTCAGTCCTTTGATGAGGAAAGCAGAAGTGCTGTTTATCCTCTAATTACAATGAAGAATTTCTCATTCTTCTAGTTGCTGACAAGTACCTGCAATTCAGGGTCAGCCTTGACCATTTTCTATCTCTCTGTATCCCATGGCAAAAAAACCACCACAAACCAAAACAACTAATAGAGTGATTTCTAAATTCTCATGGATCTTCTGCTCCTTTCTTTGTGCTTGGGAAGAAATAACACATGGCCAGGAGCCAGCCTGGAGCAGGGAGTCTTGGAGCAGCTGTAGATCCAGCCCAGAGAGGAATTGGGTGCTCAAAGACAGCGTCAGGCACCAGCCCCCTTGTAGTAGCCACTTACAGTATTCATGACTGGCTTGAATAGATACCAGTGATCCCTTGAATCAGTTTCCTCTGTTCAAAGCTGACAGGCCTGGTTTCCTCCCCTCCCATTTTGGACAGCCTTCCTGAAGCTCGTGGGGCTCACCGGTATTTGCTCTGCCCGCAGTGCTCCGTCACGTGCGGGAAGGGATACAGGCAGCGCCTCGTGTCCTGCAGTGAGATTTACACTGGGAAGGACCACTACGAGTACGGGTACCAGAACATGGTCAACTGTCCTGGCACGCAGCCCCCCAACATCCAACCCTGCTACCTCGGAGAGTGCCCCATCTCGGCCTCCTGGCGCGTCGGCAACTGGGGAAGCGTAAGTTGGGCAAACTTCTTTTTTTGGCCAAAGAGACTGGAACAACCTTTTTTTAAACACAGACCAAAGGTTTGGCAGTGGAATGTGTTAGAGCTGCTTAAATTAATGCATTGAATACTCTGGTGCAGCAGCAGGCCTGGTGTGTGTAGGGCTCCATACTTCAGACTGAACCCTTCCGTATGGGAGAGCCCCAGCGGCTACAAGTAGAGTAATTCATGAAAATTGGGATGTAGCCAACATTTGTGGCCGTGTTGATGGCCATGCTGAATACTTAGTCAGAGAGTAGGGTCATTGCAGAAAACAAGGGTTTGAAAGCCTTGTGCTAAAAGGATTGGTGAGTGACTGCCAACTGCAGTTGATTCCACTTGGCCATGTGTATGAGAAAGACTTGGGAGCCAGCATTAGGCTGAAACATTTGAGTCATTTGAGTCTTAAAACAATTTTTTTCTTGTTTTTTCCTCCCCCTCCTTCTCACAAATGCTGGGACAGGTCAGGGGAAAGAACCTGGCCTTTCTGCTAAAGTTATTTGTGTTGAGTGTCTTCTGGGACCTGAACTACAAGATCAAATTTTAGTTAAGGTGATAACATTTCACTTCTTAGGGCTTCTGACATTCTTTGAAATGTGATGTTTCACCCATAAACTTGATTTATTAACCTAGCTGATACATTTGTAGGAATTTGTCAAACCTTTACAAGGCAATGAGTGTCAAGCCAAGTAAAATGTAGTAGATGTCACAGTAACTGGCAAAGCCATTTGAAACCTAAGTTCCTCCTGCCCCATAGGAAGCTTCAGATCCTCCCTGTGAGTCAGCACAGAGGAGTTATAGCAAAGAGCTCAACTTCAATTAATTGGTATTTTCCCTCAGAATTTAAGTGCAAAATACCCAACTCATTAATCCAACTTCACTGCAAAGAGTATTCATGTCAGAGAACAAGACCTTTCTCCTCACTTTGGGCTGCTGAATGTCCCAGTCACCACCAAGTGCCATGACCCTTGTCAGCTGTGATTTTGAAAGGGATTTAATGTAAAATGCCATCCACTCTGATGGACAGAGAGAGTCCTACTCAGTGCTTCAGCTAAATTTTATGGAACTGGACCTGATAAAGAGTAAATGCCAAGCTGTGAATACCATGAGCCATTGAAGACCATTTCTTCATGGTGTGTTCCTTTAGAATAATAATTTCTAAATGGGTGAGCAACTTCATTTTCTTTATAGCCTAACCTGGTAGCTGTAGAAAGAGCTGATTTTCATTTCTCAAGTACTTGAAAGAACAAGTTGTGGATGCAGGAGCAAGGTCCTCCCACAGCCCAGACTCAGTAGCTGGATGCTCTGCTGCTTGGTAGCTCCAGTAACTTGTGCAATTTCAGCCTTAGGCTTGCCCTTCATCTGGGTGGTTTGAGGATGACCCAGTGTTTGCACAGATGAAGCCATTTTCCCAGCAGGTGAGGGGAGAGAAGATTTTGGGGCTCCTTTTTTTTTTTTTTTTTTTTCTTTTTTTTTTTTTTTTTTTTTTTTTTAAATTTTTTTTTTTTGTTTTTATTTTTTTTTTTTTTTTTTTTTTTTTGGTGCAATTTGCATAGAAAACAACAATCTTCCTAATGTGAAAAATAATCAATTTCACTTGAGCACATGGTTCTCTNATCCAGCAAAGTGTGCAAACACTGAGCAAAGTATGGTATTCTTGAAGTAATCAATGATAATAAGGAAGGGATTAATTACCAAAGGGACTACTCATTTGATTAAAATTAAGCCTGTGTTTGAACACTTCACAGGATTGAAGTCTATGCTGCTGTCTCTTGATACAAGGGAAACCATCTGTCCCTGTTCTTTCTTCTGGAGCACATAAACCCTTGAGATAAACCAGGAATCTCTGTCTTCTGTCCCACAGTGCTCTGTCACCTGTGGAGTTGGGGTCATGCACCGCTCAGTGCAGTGCTTGACCAACGACGACCAAGTCAGCAGCTTGTGCCATGTGGACCTAAAACCTGAAGAGAGGAGGACATGCCACAATGTCCATGACTGTAAGTCTGCAGATTTACACCTTCTTTTGCCTTTCTCACGGCTTCAGCATCTTTTCCCCTCAAACTCCTAGAGATCTGCAGTATTTCCAAGCATTGGGAGCCATCCAAGTAAGCACTAAGACACTTCAGGGAAACCTGTTAAAAATAAAAAAGATGTTTTGATGGTTTGGAAGCCTCAGAGTATTCCAAAATAAATTTTGATGTGTTGTTGTTCAGTTACTGCAAGTATTTCTGTTTTGTTTCAGGTGACTTACCAAGGAGTTGCAAAGACGTTAAAAATCTCGAAGGTGTCACTGAAGATGGTGAATATTTCCTGCAAGTCAAAGGAAAGACATTAAAGGTGCATTTCAGCAACAGAATGATAGTTAATGGGTTTTCTGAAGGTTCAAGAGGAGCCTGCCTGTGGTGTTCACTTCCACTCTTGGATTTTCTGCCTTTGGTTGTCTCAGTGATGCCTTTGCACATGACACAATTCTGGCTTGTCTCTCTCAGGTGTATTGCTCTGGGATGCAGACTGACAGCCCAAAGGAGTATGTGACCCTTGTAAATGGGGATGCAGAGAATTTTTCAGAAGTGTATGGATACAGGTAAGAAATCCTGTAATCATGAACTTTACAGTGTTTTTGTTTTCCATGGCAATATTTCCTGGTCATGAGTAGAAAGGGTTTTCTTTTGATTTAGATTGCATAACCCAACCGAGTGTCCGTATAACGGGAGCAGACGAGAAGACTGCCAGTGTAGGAAAGATTACACAGCAGCTGGGTTTTCCACCTTCAGCAAAGTAAGGCTGGACCTGAACACTATGCAAATAATAAGTGAGTAAAAACAGGGCCTTGCCATTAAAAAATGTTTATTTTACACAAATATAACTATAACAAGCAAGCAGTAGTACTCTAGTGAGCAATATTCTTGAAAATTCCTGTTAAAAGCTGCTTTTAGACTTGGTCTCCTGTTTGCTGCTTTACACTTGGAGACTGCAACTTGAGTACACCAGAGATGCTCGTGTTATTTCTCTGTAAAACAGGAAAATACTAAGGCAATTGCTGGTGTAACTGCTCTGCAGAATGAGTATTTGCATGCTCCCAGCAGCCCAGTGCATTTTGTGAAGGATTTTATTTTATTTGGTCCCCTCTTTTCAGAATGGACTCAGACACAAAGCCTGACCAGGGAGGAGCTGCCCCACTCCCCCACCCTCTCCATTTTACTCAGAGAGGTGTCAGGAGATCCCAGTGCAGGGGTCTCCACTGGGATGGGGATGCTATTCCCAGTGGCCAGGGCAGAGAAGTCCCTCAGCAGAGCCAGACCACAGGGAAGTAACTTGTGTTGAGGGCTGGGGACATGGATTTGCAACGGAGAAAGAGAATATAGCTGTGCAATAAGAGTAACACACTGTCTCTTTTGTCATTCCTGTGAGCTGGGAGCCCATCCCATCACCAGAGACCCTGTAGCATTCCATGGGGTTATGGTTTCAGTCCCCTGACTCCACTGCTATCAGTTTTCAGCAAGTGTTTTAAAAATACAACATATTGTTGCGAGTTCATTCAGTAAATAGCTAAGTGGTTTTTTAGCAAATCAAAACCCTTCCCTGTAAAATGACTCCTTATCTGATAAGTGGGTTTTATCACTTAATTTTCAAGACCTCCCAGTCTATCAATCTGTAAAAAGCAACTAATAATCTGTAAAAGCTTCTAGGTAAAGATCTCAAAGGAACCACCCTCTGGGAATTTGATACTAGCTCCCTTTGAATTTCAAAAGGAGCTAGGCACCTACCTCTGTCAGGCAGGAGCTATCTCACATCCCCATCTAAATGAGTCTCAGTTACTTCAGATCCTTCCAGAGCAAAATACTCCAATTCCCTTTGAAAACCCGACCCCTGGGCTGGGGCAGCCAGGAGAGCAGAGATGTTGTTTGCTTTTGTTTAAAAGAGAGATTTAGAAGGTGCTGTAGCCTTTTTGAAAGTGGGGAATTGTTTGATAGAGAAATAAACCCCAAGTTAAGGGTTCGAATTTTGTTGTTATTTATACCTTGTTCCTAAATCACCAACAGATTTAAACTGAGTCTAAATACTGAGTGTAAATGTCCTGCTAAATTCAGTGCTCACGTTCTGGGAATCACATGTGGAATGAATCAGGATATTTAATATTAAAAAATATAGTAATCTTGGTATCATAAAATTGTAGTAGTCTTGACGTCCTGCATTAATGTGGGAAGCTAGCTTTGGTGAATTTAAACATTAGCAAAGAGCATGTTTACATTTATTTTGTCTCTCTCCCTGCATCTTTCTTTCCATGTTATTCACCAACTCATCTCCACAGCAACTGATTTACAGTTTGCACAGACACATGATGGACGACCTGTTCCTTATGCCACTGCTGGGGACTGCTACAGTGCTGCCAAATGCCCGCAGGTATTTGACAAGAGCATGTAACAGGAATTGGTGCCATTTGTTATGTTCAAGCCCTCTATTAATTACTGCTGATGCAGCAGCCCAGCTTCAGTGAGTGGCACGTTCTTATCTCAGCGATCTGAAACTTTTCCCTTTGTGAAGAGGGAGAAAGTGATGAAGAAAGTTCCTTTTGTGAACAGGAAGAAAGTAGTTTCCATTTTCCATGTTATCAGGCCAGTGGCTGCCTAGTTCCCTAAGGCCCCAGTAAAGGAAAAGAGGAAGAAGAAAGAGGCTGTGGGGAGAGAACTGGGTTTTGCCTGCACAGTTGAAGACAAGGGGATCAGTCCATGACAGGACTTGGTGGAAATGCTGGGCAGAGAGAGCAGCAGGGAGTAGATGCTTTTTGAAAGTCTGTAGGAGACAATTAACACTGTGTTAGGGATGGCTTGCTGCATGTCCCCAGCACACCTACCTTTTGTGGGGCTGGGGATGGTGAGTGATCTGTTTGGATAGTCCGAGGTATGGGGTGGGCATTACTGGCAAAGGGCATTAACAGGGAGTTGCAGCAGCAGACAGCAGAGGGCAAATCTCTCAAACCTCTCCATCTCCTCCCTCCCTGCTGCAGAGCTGACACTTCCTGCACAGCTCAGCAGCTTAGGGATTGACTCCTTACCTCAGGAGTGCTCATAAATGTTAATATCCATCCATCTGACCCAGACAGTTTGCTCCTCACAGAAAATCAGCATTCCCAAGGCAGCAAGTGCAAGGAGCAAAGCTAACAGCCATCTGGTACTGCACGGCCGTGCTGGGCTGTGGGGCAGCCTGGGGATGTGTCCAAAGGATCCCTCCATGGGTCCAGAAATTGGCAGGACTAGAGTCTGCCATGGGGGTGAGGGGAGGGCTGGGGGCTGAGCACTGGATGCTGGCATAGTCCTTAATTTTCCATCCATCTTTCTCATTTCGAGAAAGGGTGGAATTAAGTGTTTTAAAGAAATTGAAGAGTTTCATTAGTCTGAGAAAAAAAAAAAATTGGAAAATAAGGAAAACAAGGACAAGTGTGCCCTCTCCAGTTGAGGAGGGAGCAGTGAGAGCAGCTGCAGCACATCCCTGAGGCTCCTTCCCATCAGCTGCTGGAGCACGTCAGGCTCTGCAGTTTGCCATGGGAAAGCCAACAATGCCCTCAGCCGGCAGAGAAGAAGCAATGCAAAACCGGGGTAAAGCAGTGAAACCTGGGCGGGAAAGGCAGTTCAAAAACGATCTAAAGCCCCTCCTTCTCTGCAGCCACTAAGGAGAACAAATTCCTAATGAGAGCCATGCTGTGCTTTGTACAATGATCATGATCAGAGCAATGGAAAACAAGGGAAAACTTTGTTTTTGCTGTCAAAATCCTGTAAGAGAAGTGACACCGTGGCTTGCTGGGGGTGTGGAACATGGCATTTTGGGATAACCAGGCTCTGGTTGTTTTTTAGGGTCGCTTCAGCATAGACCTGTACGGGACAGGCCTGTCCCTAATGGGAACAGCCAAGTGGCTCTCACAAGGGAATTACGCGGTGTCGGAAATTCAGAAATCCCCAGTAAGTTGTAACTTTAATTATGGCTGTACCTGCTCATCAGAAGTTTTTAATCACCACATTGTCATTCATGGCAACATCTTCCAATAGAGACTAACAAAAAATGAACATCTGATATTAAAGTGTTGTATGTAATTGTAATGGGGCAAGACCCTCGCGGGATTAGATTGATCAGAGTTATTACAATTAATTAGTGAGCCTGATTAACTGTGAAGCTGAAAGTGCTGAGTGCTGTGGGGCAGACATATCCTTAATCAGTTGCCTGACATGTCCAGCATGGAGTGTGCATCACAAGGCAGGGCAGCAGGAAAGGGTCAGGGCTGCAGAGCAGAGTTGGACCTGCAGGTAGGGTTTGGTCTAGTGCCCTGAGTAGGAATTGTTCCCAACACATGGCTGATAAAGCATGGAGGGTGTGGACCTTCCTGCTGGTCCAGTTTGGGTTTATCTCCTTGGGAAAGTCTCAAGTCACTGGAGTGTTGCAGAGGCACCATCCCCTGTCACTGCCTGTGGCTCTGCTGGCTGGCTGGAGCCTCAGATTAAGCCAGGCAGCCCTTCACAATTACAGCCAAATTTGTACTTATACTGCTTAATTTGCCTGCCTGTTAACACCTCCTGCAGTCACGGTGTGCCTTCACTCTATTGCTTCTGTGTCATATTCTGAAATGGTAGAAACCCAGGATTGCTTTTTTGGCTGTTATTTCATGTGAGTCATCCCAATTGCCCCTGTTAAAACTCTCCAAAGGAGCTCACCATAATTTAACAAACAGCAATTGGCAAAACATCCTTTCCTGTACTGCTTTCAGGCTCCCCCTGGCTCTGGGGAGCCTAAGTCGCCTCTGTACTGGTCTCTTATAGAATTAATGCTACAGATCTGACCACACTACAGGTGGAAAAGGACCAGCACAGGTCCTGTATTGTCAGTTCCAGCAGGTGTTTTTCTATCTTCCCTTCTAAAAGGAGAGAAGTCTCCTTTGGGGTTGCAGAAAACATCACAGCTAGCAGAATTAAAACAAACTTTAAGGAACAGAGGTGCTCAAAAATCCTCCATCACCTGATGGCATCTGTCAAGTGCTGTTCCAAGGATGTAATTTCCTACAGGATCAGAAGAAAGAACGGTGTAGTGAGAAGAGATGATAGCAGCCTGCTGCACTCACAGATCAATAATGTCAAGGGCAGGGTGGAGCTCGTTTAAAAATAAGTGCTTTGTGCAAACTTCTTGTGTCCTTAAGTCCAATTTTCTGGTAATTGAGGGTTGAATTCCCCTCAAGTACTGTCTGTCCATTGTAATGACCAAGAGGAGAAAGACTCTGCAGAGGTGAGATAAGGAAGGCCTGATGGAGGTATTAATCTCCTGACTCAAGCCCAGAGTTACACCCTGCTTGCTGGGCACACCTGGAGACCAGGTCAAGCTCAGGACCACTCCACACTTACCCCTCCTGGCTGTGGGAAGGGGAGAAGAGTTGGCACCTCACCAAGTGACATCACCTCACCCTATCACTTTCCCTCATCTCTTGTCTCTGGAGCCACTCCAGAACTTTGCCTTCCAAGTGGATGCTTCCTGGTATTGCCTGCAAATACCCTTTCCATGCTCAGGCAGAGTTGAGTAGTTGTTTCTGACCCAGAGTGGTTTTGCTCTTGCATGAGCCAAGTTTTCTACTCATTACTGTTATTCACTGTGGGGCAAACTGGAGAAAGCAGATACCCTTGAGATACCCTCCAAATGGCCTTCTCCTTGGCCAGCTTTCAATTTAATAAATCAAAACAACCATTTCCTATTTGTGTCCATCATCTGACCTGCTAGCACTAAAGAGAATTACATTTGTGTACATTTGAATACAGCAGTGATTTCATAGATTGATTTTGGCATCCTTTGTTTTCTTAAACACCCTAAAAATCATGGCTTGAATAACCCAGATCTGGCCCTTCTGCAGCATGGAATTCATGAGCTCTTAATGAGCTGTTATTTCTGATTTTGCCTGCAGGATGGTACCAAAGTAGTAGGAAGATGTGGTGGTTACTGTGGGAAGTGCACTCCATCATCTGGAACAGGCCTCGACATTCAGGTGTTATAGCAGTGGTGAGTTCTCAGCTGCTTCTGCATGAAGGAAAATCCAAAATGCCCTGAAGGAACAGATCAGACCATGATTGCAAAAAGACATGGAGTGCATTGGTGACAGCCACCCACCCCACACAGCATCCCTGTGGGATCCCCCCTCCCCAGTAACCCTTGTGGATACAGCACTGTCACCTGGAAACACCTCCCCACCTTACTGGCACCCACCTTTGCTCTGCTCTTGTGCCAGTTTCTCTGGTGACATGTTCCAGAGGCCAGGATGACTCTAAATGTGCACCTTTTCTGTGTTTTCCAGGTTCTCTGCGAGCAGCCAACAAAGATGAGGGATGGATGAAGGATAGTGATGCAATACCTCTGCCTTCCACTTTTATATCTGTGTATATGTGTATATAGATTGCATATTCCTAATGTACAGTATAATATTTATGTTTGGGATTATTTATTTTGATTTAATATTTTTGTACGTAAAATCATTATATTAAGGCTGCTTTTCCTATTTTTATTTTTTATTGATAAATCCTGCAGTCAAGCCACTGCATTTTGCATACTCTACATTATATGTAGCATTATGACAAGTGATACTTAATTGTCACTGTATTCAGTTGTTTACTTTCAGTCAGTAATTTTCCTTCAGTTATGGGCTGCTTTGGCCCTCCACGGTGCTACACAATCTGCATAGGGGTATTTTTGGCATTTCAATCTGTCTTTATGCAAGGAAATTAGACAAGATGTGCTTAAATTTTTATTTTTAGGGATTAGACTGACAGCACTCAAGGAAAACATGACAATGAATACTGTGCTAGTTGCATTAGCAATCTTTATCTTTTAGGTATATTTTGAATTTCACATGACCTCTGTGGCCAGTGCTGGAAGCACTGGTTTGGTGCTAACATGATATTTATTAATGCTCTGTACTTTTAGTTAATCCAGTGCCTTTATCATTGAAGAAGGGGATAAAGGAGAAAAATTGTCTGGCAATTCAAATCAATCAAGATCTATCCCAGGTTTAGGAAAATTCCTGCAGATGGATCTTCAGCTCAAGCCCCATTTTTTTCAGGGTTCTGAAGTGAACTCACTTTTTTAAAAACATGTATCTTTGTCTCCTAATTGCATGTGCCACTGTGCTTCCTGACTCCATCTGGAAGCGGGGTATTAACTCATCCCAGACAGGCTGATCAGGCCATATGTTTCCCTGGGCTGTGTTCTCAGAAGAGACGTAGTTTCTTACAGACTTTGTTACAAAATCCTAGCATGAAGATGAAAGCATCCCTCTGGTGTTCCCTTCCCATGAGGCTGGTGAGGACCGTGGGGACAGCACGCCCAGGGGTGGGGACAGCACGCCCAGGGATGGGGACAGCATGCCCAGGGATGGGGACAGCACGCCCAGCCAAGCCACCCCTTCTCTTGGCCAGGGTACTCCCCTGCAGGCACTTACAGCATTTCCCCAGCTTCCTACTCACTCCCAGACCATCTGCAAAGGGAGGCTTTGCTGCCTCCTTTCAGCAAGATCACTCTGTACCTACAGATGATTCTGCCCCCCCTTCAAAAGCAAGCTGCTGTACGCCCACTCTTGTGTTGCTTCGGATCTTCCTGGTAAGGCATCTGTGCTCCTTGCCACTCCTCGTTCCCATGTGCAGCCAGACATTTGCTGTTGGCTTTTTTTTAATCAAACTGAGGAGCCATGTCCCTTAGGTGTGGTGGCTCCTGCCTGTACGTAGCCCTCTGCCTGTGGCACGCCACGCTTTCACAGAGCTTCCTAGCACACTGAACGGGGGTGATGTGACCAGGTTATTGTTGTAGTCTGTGACTATGTCCCTTATCTCTTTCTCCACAACTTTACTTAGTGATAAGAAGGTGCTGCCCTTTCACCTTATATGTCGAGGCAGCCAGGAGCACAAAGTACAAGGAAAGGAAGCTTTTCAGCACAAAATTACCAGCAGTTTGGAAAACCAAAGAGGCTTATCTGCTACTCCAGATAACTCTTTCCATTTTGGATGCAAGCAGTTACCAAACACAACCTCTGTGAGTCTTTTACAGAGCTCCCCAAAGGATGTGTAATCAGTGTGTTACAAAACACTTGGATCAATGGTGATAAACGATCTGATCCCTGGATTCATAACCTGTGTGTGCCAGGCTGCGTTCAGCCTTTGGAGTGAAACTGTCAGCCTGACAATGAGGGATTGACACATTCCTGTCAGCTGGGAGACATCTCACAGGCGAGCAGGGCTGTGGTGCAGCCCGGCAGCTGGAGAACTGGTGAAGAAAGGAGGAAAAAGGGAAAGAGAAAGAGAAAAAAGGGAAAGGGGAAAGGAGTAATAATGGAATAGTGATTTTCTAATGATAATTGCTTATGTATAAATTCTGTAGGGAAAAAGGGAAAATTGCACTATGAACTTCAGAAAGAAATGGTGCTTTATCACTGTAAGTGAAGTGAAGTGAATGGCTATTTATAAAAAGAAATACTATTTTGACCCATACAAATTAATTTCTACCATATCGTTTCAGGGCAGCTATTAACAGAGCTAGCAGAACCTAAAAAAATACAAAATAAACTATAAGGGAAAAAAAGACAGCACTGATCCTGACATTCCTTAATGGTCATCATTAAATAGAGCAGATTTTGACATTTCTTGTTCAGGAAAGAACTCTGGGTTTTGTAAATCAATGCCATTATTTTTCTACAAACTGGGGTATTTTTTTGCAAGCACTTTCCTGTACAATGTTTCCTTTCTTTCTGCTTACACTCAAAAGGAAATGAGAATACCTGTATGACATGTCTGTATGGTCTTGCTGCATTTGCCATCGTATTTCAATACCTGTGTCCTACAATAGAGGCAAAATACTTTGTACACAAGGGAATAATACATTTAATGTTAAACATCCTTATCTGTGCTGGTGTTTCTTTCCAAGGTGTGGTGGGTTTGATTGTTCCATGCAAAAGGAACGAGGGATGGGAAGAATGTTGCTTATATGGAGCCCTGCCCCAAACCTATGTTAGAGTCTGTGGACCAGGGATCCCCTTGGAGAATGGCTGTGACCACCCACTCATGTCCTGCTGGTTGAGGCTGATGCTCCCAAATTTCTGTCCAGAGAGGACTGCTCCAAGGTGCATAAAATACACAAGCACATCTCAGAGATGTCCCGTGCATTGTTCAGACATATATGGTGACTGGCTGGTGCTGCCTTTAATGACCAGGGATATTCTTTGACATGACATATAAGGAAGAGAAGCAGTTAATTTTAAAACGTTTCTGAAGGATGAGCTGGGATATTGGGCCTGGTCCACACCACTTCTAGTGTTATGGAAAGAAATATGCAAAACAAAAAAATCAACTTTCCTAAATTGGATAGTATCAAATATACAGGAAAATTCAGGCAGGAGAAATTTAGTTTAAAAGGAAGGAAGTGTAGGGACTGCCTCCCAGGATGGCAGTCAAGTGTTGAAGTGCAAGCACTGTTACATCACCACTGCCCCAGATACTGCGGGTAAGAGTGAAGTTGCAATTTCTGTCTTCCTTTATATGTTTCTCATGCTTTGTCTCAGAAAATGCTGCAGATCTCTTAGTGCTGGCAGGTCCAGCCTTTTCCAGCTTCTATTTTTTCAAAGGAGAGAGGATTCCTCCCTTGTGCTGTCTGGAACACTGTCAGATGCAGAAAACAGAACATGCATGTTTCAAAAGCTCAATTCTTATTTTAAATGACCAATCTCATAAAAATGTCTTTTCTATCATTTATCCTTAATAAATTATTACAAAGATTTAAATGTGAGCTGCTGTGGAATTAATACACTGACCCTGAATCATATTTAACCGTCCAGCCCTGTATAATGAAAGGTCATTTTAACACTTTCAGTGCTTAGGTTTTGCAGCACTCTTCAGTCTCTTTGTGCAGCTTCAGAGACAGGTGATTGCTTGATCACTTTGGCCTTCTGCCCCAATGATGGGCATTTTTCTTCTACAGAAAAATAAAATACATTTTGTTGAAGGCTGTTGGAAAGGCATGTCTCAAGGGATTAGTCCTAAATCAGGACATTTGACTCCTTTCCTTCCTTTCCTCATAGCCACACTTTGAAAATTGAAGAGTGCAGAGAAGCCTGTTCTGTTGAGTCTTTCCAACACAACTCCTCAAACAGATGATTGAGGGCTGACTCAGAAGAAAGCGTTCTGTCAGGGGAAGAGCACTGAGGTGAGACACCTCCCATTACCAGGCAAAGGCACAGGAATTCGACCCAACCCAGGCTTCATTAACAGCTGAAGTGGCTCAGCCCATGCCTTAAGTTCTCCCAACACTTGAACTCTTGAAATGGAGAACTCTTTCAATCAGGTCGTTGTTAGAGACGTGTCTCAGTTCATCCAGAAGTCACAGCCCTTTGTGATGTTGGTGATGGCTGTGGGAGGGGATGAGTCCCTCTGCAGCACAGATTCCTGGAGGCAGCTCCGGCTTGCATTGAGCAGGAGGAAGCTGATGACCGAAAGTGGTGCCTGTCAGTCTCACTCCAACATTTTCCAAGTATTTTTGCCTGTGAAGTGATCCAGGCAATTGGAATTGTAGCTTTCCAGAAGCAGATTTAGCTGACAAGTTTCTGACCTCTCTTTGCAATAGCAAGATGAAGAATGCTAACAAGTTATTTTCAGCCTTCACAGAAGAGTCTGAGTTTCCACTTCAAAGTTGGCTTAATTTTCCAGCTATTTAATATTAGCAAATATAAGGCATGGATTTCAGAAAAAAACAAACAAACAAACAAAAACATAGTATTTTGACCTAACCAAAATGCCTTTTATATTATATTACCTGAGGAGGTTTCTTTTGTTTGTTTATTCCAATTAAAAAAAAAAAAAAAAAAAAAAAAAAAAAAAAAAAAAAAAGATGAAATTTTCCATAAAATTACTTCTGCCTCTCTCTACTTATAAATATTGATTCTGAATTGTTTGGAGATGCAATCTGTTGACTATAAGTACAACAAGTAAGGTACCATTTTAAGCAAGGGGAAGTAGAAATACATTTCTCCTTTGTGACACTGATCCAGGTCCTTCCAGGCAGGATATGAAATGCAGAGGCTGAGGCCATGCCCATCAATCCATTTCCACCAGGAAAACCTCAGTTCTGCTGGGAGCAGAATGGTTTCCACATTACATCTCCTCGCAGGTTTTGGCACATGCCTGGCTCTAATGATCAGCCTGAGCCGCCAGCAACGAGATCAAGCTGCAGCTAATTAAACATGTGTTGGTAGTCAGTGTCTCCATTTCCAAAGAGACATTATGAGGAGAAGAGCCAGAAATCTGGAGTAATCTCTGAATACAAAACCCTTTGTATGTGGGGCAAAGGGTGCAGGGGGAGGCAGGGCTCTGATATTCTCTCTTAAAATCATTACTTGGCTCCATTCATATGCTTATAATTTCTTCATCCTTCTTTAGTCTGCGCCAACATTTCAGATGAGCAATTAAATTAATCCAGTCTTTTCTGCATTGTCCTTTTCTAATCCATCCTCGCTGGCTTGCTGACCTTCCTCTTTGAAGCTATTCACGGCTCGCTGCCTGCCTTCCTCAGCCCCACGCAGAAAGGAGCATTGACTGTGAAACATTCTCATTGCTCCTGCTGCCGGAGCAGGGAAGTGGGAATGGCTCCCTGCAAACTCGCTGGCAAGAACAGACGTGCCCAGGTTAGCTGCTGTTACTGGCAAATTCAAGCAGCAGTAAATACAGGTGGTGCCTCCAAGCCCTCCCGGCGGGTGGGGGCGAGGCCGCCTCCAGCAGAGGATGCAAGCAGGTACCAGATGCTGCCAGAGGCTGGAGCTGTGGCCTCATGCATGGCTTGGACTTCCCAGATGAAGTTTCTCAGCTTGATCCCAGGTTGGAGTAGCCCTTTGGAGCAGGATGCACGTGTGTAGTGGTGGGAGCACGCAGCTCTGCACTTCTCACTGAGGCTGACGCCTTGCCAGGGCTTAGAACAAGCAGGTACACATCGGTGGCAAACAGAAAACACAGCAGAGCTGAACTGGCAAACAATTGAGACCTAGAATTTCAAACTGAAAGTTGCTGAAAGGAGATGTAGGGCAGCAGGGGCCATGGAAGTTTGTTTCCTGGCAGCACAGGAGCAGCACACTGAGTCTGAGCCTTGTCTGTAGGAGCAGGAGGCAATGGCCTTTCTTCTTACCTGTGCTGGGGTTCAGCTGCTGCAACACTTTGCTGTCTGTCTCTCCTTCTCTGTTCTCCTCCCAGGGTGTCCCTGAGCATGCCATGTCTCCTCAAATCCACCCAGGCCAGTGGTACAGGTGATCTAAGGAAACCCCAGCAGATCACTCTGCTGACTCTCACTCGAGCTGCTGCTCCATTCAGGTAGGTCAAATGGAGAGGTGATACCCTTTAGATCCACTTTTTAGAGATACTTCTAAATTCTGCTGACTGAATTGCATGAAGTGGGGTGTCCTCGAGACATTTCAACAGCTCTTGTCAACACCGACAGCTTCATCCTGCTCTGTGTGGAAAAATGCAGTGGGTGTGCCTTGTGCTGGAGCAGAGCTCACCTGAAATAACCCCTGAGAGCTGCCTGCCTGCCCCAGAGAGGCTGTTGCCCA